ATCAAGTAAAAATTCTTAAAAAAATTATAATAATATCATTTAATGTACTTTTGACAATAACTTTAATTAATTCTTGACATGATAATAATTTTTAAAATTTTTTTAAATTCAAAGTTATTAAATAAAATATTAAAAATATTACATAACTTATTGAAAATATTTTATAAAGTTAAAAATTATTTCAATTAATTCAATTTAAATGAATGTATATTATATAGTAGTTCAACATCTTAACACTCGGACCGGGAAGGCGCTTTGTATTTAAAGTTTTAAAAATTATTATTAAAAGGTTTTCCTAAAATGACTTCTACTTAATGTCATTTTGACTTACTATAATTTATGTTCTACCACTATGTGCTAACTTATTAGTTGCTAATACTGTTTTTCTCAGAACATACAAAAGAACAAGTTATTAACATAAACAAGTCTTACCCGACGTCCTCGTTGTTCCCGTATTCTTCTAGCTAAAGTAAGAAAAGCCTCTTCGATGTTGATATTCTCCTTGCACGATACCTCGAAGAAGGGCATATCAAAATTTTCGGCAATCTTTTGACCTCTTTCGGCGTCTACGGCGCGATGCGCGGTCGCGTCGCATTTATTCGCAGCCAAAACTTTTACTACGTCCGGTGATGCATTCTGTTATGCAAATGAAAAAATTACTTATAATTCAAAATTTTGTTGCGTGCAGATAACTTTGAACTCATTCATGACGTTACGAAACTTCTATTTATTCATTTCTCCATGAAATTAATTTTCTTTCAATCTCAATTTATATTGAAAAATTTAACATGTTAATTGGTTATAATTTATTAAAAGATTTAACATATTAATTGGCTATAATAATAGTTGATAATCTTTTAACATAATTTATCCATTTTCTTTGCAAATTTTTCTGATTTCAAGTTTATAGGTCGTGATTTTATTCGAACAGTCTTTTAATACTTTCAATTCTTTTTCTCGACTTCTTAAGGTCATTTAATCGCGGCCATTTCAAAAATATGCAGCGCGAATTTATTTTTGTTCACGTAACGTTCTATTATTAAAATCTATTCTATCTTTAATCTTACTTCTTGAATATTTCGTAGCCAATACGATAAATGGTTGAAACTCTCCAAACTAGTGACATCGTACATCAAAAGGATACCCATGGCACCACGATAGTACGCCGTTGTTAAAGTTCGAAATCTTTCTTGGCCGGCAGTATCCCTTTACAAAAAAAAAAAGATACATTTAGAGATGTACTTTCTATTACTTTATTTTATTTATATACGACTTGTCACTTTACATGCAGATTATGGCTTTATGAAACCTGAGAGAACTAAAAATAAAGACTAAAATCTTCTAAGAGAGAATTCTTTGGTTTCTTTATATGAATTTAAACATTAGTTGATGATTAATTTAATAACTCGCGGGCAAAAACTAATTAATACTCACCAGATTTGTAATTTAATCGGTGTTCCATCTAAGTTAATGATCTTCTGTTTGAAATCAATACCTGCAGACATATTCGCCATTTATATCTGTCATCATGTGTAAATATTTTCGGGGTACTTGCACATTAAACAAATATTAAAGTTTAAAATCAAGGACTCATGATATACTTTAATTATATATTTGTAGCTCGGAGCCATTAGATGCTATTTCTAATTAAATGGCCATTGTAACAGTTTATACATCAGAATTCCTTTGCATGCAAACAAATTGATTAAAACTTTATGTATACAAGAATTGAATTATTATTTGTAAACTGATTGTGAAAACAAATACAAAGCCAATTATAAAATATTATATTATTTCATCGAAGCGAGAGTATATATCTTTGTAGTATATCTTTGGAACATTTTTATAATTATGACAATTTATATCGAGACAATTGCTGAGAATAATTCGGTCTGACAATAAGTTTAAAACTAGGTAGTTATACATAATGACATCAAAGTTAGAGCGAATGCAAGATAATCACGTTTGTGAAGTTGGTCCCTCATTTTCCGAATTTTGTAATTTTTTTAATTGTGCTGACAATGAGTTGCGCTACGTTTGAGCCGATTTGTGACGCAAACTGCCACTCAATGACATGAAATGTTTTCCCTCTTTCAAAAAAAATTTGCTAACCATGAAACTTCAAATTTGTGTAACTCACAAATGATGTGAGATAAACGAATTCTGCGAGTTGTGCTGAATTGTGCTACTCAATTTTACAAAGCACATGCATAAAAAGTTGAGGTTGGCTTAAGGTTCGGTAAAAATTTTTGAAAAAAGGATGGGGGTAAATAAAAAATTCAACATTTTTTTATTTTTTTAAGTTGTGCCAGATTATGCTACAACAGTACGACAACTTTTCTTAATTGCAAAATTTATCGTCAAAGATATGAATCATTCGTCAAAAATTTTTAGGAATGAAAAACTTCAAACTCATGCAATTTGCGAACAATGTGAGGTAATTGAACTCTGCGAGTTGTGCTGAATTGTGCTACTCAAAATCAATTCAGCACAACTCGCAAAATTCGATTATCGCATATAGTTCGCAAGTTACAGGAGTTTAAAGTTTTTTATTCCTAAATATTGGTAAGGCTAGCAAAATTTTTTTAACGCTTCATGTTATTGAGCTGCGGTTTGCAGCACAAACGCAATATAACACAGTGTAATTAAGAAAATTACAAAATTCGAAAAATGCGAGATCAATACACGTAAGATAATCAGCTGATCGATGATACATAATATATATTTTTTATGAAATACATAAATTTGCCAATTGACAAGTTAATTAAATTTAGTGAATGGAGTAATTAATTATACTATGTATTTATTTTTGCTGAGAATGTAAATAATGTTAAGTTCAAATTAAAATGTCAAAAGAGAAAATTGATTCTACTTCTCACTATTTCGCGACAAATGAAGAAGATGAAAACGTTGCACATTAAATGCATAAAATTAGAACAATGAAATGAATTGAAGCAGGTGTTCTTTTCTAATAGCAGGTCTGTATTGGAGACAAAGACGTGACCTCATCTATAATAGCCAAGGGTTAATTAACGACTATTCGTGTCAACGATGTATGGGACTGATGCGTCGATCCGGCACAAAATTAAAACGCGTGACTTTATTGTTACCGTTACCAAAGAAAATGAGCTGTCGTAAACTAGTCGTAACTGGCACCAAGATACGTCACAATAAATACCCAACAATAAGTCGCTGAAACAATACGACTCCGGAGGCGGTCGTCGCAGGTGAGAACGGGAAATCCGATGAATATTTTTATATTGATGTCTTCTCACCTATCGTCGAGATATAAGTGTCGTAGTACCGTTCGTCGCAGTAGCGATGCACGATACAGGTCTTGCCAACGTTCGAGTCGCCTAATACCAAGACTTTATACGTCGCTGCGAAATCCAACGCCATGTTTGCAATAGGTCTCGGAAGGTTTTGAACTGTTGTTGGGTCGACAACAGAGTCGTCGGCCGAGGGTTCTTCGCGGACGCCTGGGGAGGATGAGATGGGGGTGGAAGATCGATTCGAAGCTTGCGCTGTAGCCCCTACATGAGCAGAAATTGAATCAGAATGTGATTAAGGCCCCAAATTGTCTTTAATGTCAGGTCCTGATAAGGAATCCTGATAAGGACCATTAGGAATGTAACGCAATTTATATTATATAAGGAGATACATTTTAAAAGAATAATTTAAAATTATTCAACATTAACATTAAATTAACATTAAAATTATTTAACATTAATTATTTAATTATTTAGCAATTTGAAAATTATTTAACGTTTAACAATTAAGTATTTTTATTCTTTAATTTTTCTAATTTCTCGCTGATGTTTCGCTCCTTTCACTTTTCATCCCAATCTTTCGTATTATTTAAAACACTGCCTAGCGCCTGAAAAAATTTCTCGTGCTTCACTTCAGAAGATTTGTTATGAGCTTAAGTTCGATGAGCTTTATATTTATTATTTAAATGACGTTTTCAACCTGTTACAAGTAATTTTACCTTTCTAACTCTAATGTTCATTACCGTCATAAAAAAATCAGATTGTCGTTACCAAATTATTATTATAACAAGGTTTTTTTTGCGTAGGAGGAGAAAAATTTTCACTAAGCCCATCATCCAGGATGCTCTATAAAGAACTTAACCGGATAATGAGAAGACATCCGATCCTCTGAGAGTACAGGATTCGATGTGCCTGCCCCCCTGAAAAAGGATAGCGGACACATTGCCTACCTGTTAAAAAATTCCCCTTGTACAGTAGTACTGCCAGATTTATTGGATGCACCCCGGAACCTCCTATTCGGCATTTCATTAGGCCGCGCATTTCCAAGATCACGTGATTTCCGGTTTCCTAACACGGGCGATTTTTTAGCTGATCTCTACTTTTGAAGAACTCTATCTCGGCAACACTTTTATTCTAGGGGAAAATCGACGAAAGCATTTGGCAACACTGACCATAAGCGCAAAGCTAGCTAGCCAAGATACCGAGCATAGATATAACCTCTTTTTTACATCGAGATTTAGCAGGAAAATCTAAGGTAATTCTCTTTATATCTCACTTATAATTATAGAAATAATTATTTTTGCTAAATGTTTTTTATATTAATATTTATTTATATTTAAAAGTATTAAGATATGTATTTTTATATTTTGTTACTTTTCCGAGTAACCTCAAACTTTAAAAAAAATTAATTTTATGAAAAAATAACGAAATAGTTATTAAAATTTTGTTAATCACATTTGTTTTATACATTTTTTAATGGAACATTTTAGATGGATTCGACGGAAGGTAATCAATATGAATTATACCGCGTGCATCCCAAAAAACTGTGGCCATCACCGGCCGACTTCACGGTCTTCGCCTTCTTCGGAGCTGGTTCACCCATTGAAGTCCATTGTTTTGACTGTTTCTTCGCCTCGGGTGTAAAGTAATGGATCCATGTTCGTCTACAGTAATAAATCGACGCAGAAATTCATCTGGATTACGTTGAAACATTTCCAAACATTATTTTGAAATCGGCACACGGTCGCGCTTATGATCCACAGTAAGCAAACGCGGCACCCATGTTGCCGATAGCTTTTTCATACCCAATTGTTCGTGCAAAATTGAAATCACTGTGCTATGTGATATGCCTGTGGCCTTAACAAGCTCGCGCACTTTCACTCGTCGATCAGTCAAAACAATATCGGAGACTTTATCAACGATTTCTGGCGTAACAGCCTCAATTGGACGTCCCGAACGAGATGCATCACATGTGGATGTACGACCACGTTTAAATTCATTCACCCAATTGTATACAGTCGCAAACGCTGGTGCAGATGTGCTATGAACATTATTCAACTCGGCTTTGATTTCTTTTGGCTTTAAACCTTTCATATGTAGATGTTTGATCACTGCACGAAACTCGTTTTTTTCCATTTTGCAAAAAATACAAAGGTTCTCTTTAATCGTCTACAGAAATTAAACCACGCGATGAATTCCTCAAAATTTGATAGTAATTAGCTGAAAAATGCTACTTGTCAAAAAGTAATGTGACATGACACTGCGAATGCCCTTTGACAGATTTTCTAAGAACTTATTGACTTACCCTCGCATATATATTCCGTTATATATTGAGTTAATATGCAAAGTTTATATTTACGTTTCTTTCTTAATCATAGACGCATGAAGCTGTTACAAAAGCTCGATCTGCTAGAATATAGCGAAGAATCTATACAAGACTCATGAGTGTTACATAGTAAGAAAAGTAATTGGGAAGAATGTATTATCCAAGAAATTATCGATAAGAATGATGTAGTAAGTATATTTTTATCATTATTTAATAGAACTTAGTATATGTCTATATTTTTAGACTATTATACTTCAGAACCTGATGTCATTGTTAACACAAAGAATAATGGAAAATTAATGGAAGATGTTGCAATACCTGGTGTCCCTGTTACTCCACCGCATCATAAAAAAAAAATTAAGGCATACCGAACGATCTTGCTGTAAGATTTATCAGTTATCTTTTTATTGATACGGGTTATAAAAAAATCTACTACGCAGATGTAATTTATTCTAATTTATTTCAGCCCTCTGCAGAAGCACTTGTTTCCCCATCGCCGCTTCCAAGTTCAACAAGTACTATAGAATTGATTATGAGAGAATTCGAGTACTCTTGATATCTGATCTGCGATGAAAGATCAATACGTCGTTGGAGAGGGTCTCCTACATTAAGAGACCGAAAAAATGGTGATTCTTCATAATTTTTTTTTAAAGGAAGACTAATATTTATTGTTTTAAAACTTTTTACACATTTTAACATAACTATTGTGAAGCACGTACAAATTTTCATGTAAAAAATATTATAAATAATAAAAATATGAACATTTAATTTGATATCTCGCTATGACGTTATGATTTTGTATACGTTCTAGGGGCTGTAATTTTTGAAACAGAAAATTAAGAAATATTTTTAATTGTAATAGTTTTTCATCCTAAATAAACCTTATCGACAATGATTGAGACTATTAGCTAACTAATGAGCCTTATAAAAAGTCGATTGGTCAAATATTTTTTTTTTCAATCGTGTATACAAAATTGAAGAAAAAACAGATTTCGAGAAAAATGCGTTTAAAGTTTTCGATTTAATTCTTAAGTATTTACAATACTCGGAGGTTAATTTGTTATTTTAAGGACATACAATAATCATTCAGCTTCCTCATGGAATTCATTTTGAGCAATTTGAGCCATTCTACTTAGACTACTAACAAAAAAACCAACCTTCACCGATTTTGAACTTTGGATATGTAGAACATGAAAAAATATTAGATCTATATTTTTTTATTTGTTTAACTCGAGATTTAGAGGGTGAATAACACCCCTTCGAAAAAATCTTTTTTTTTTCTTTCAAAGCAAATATCGAAACTATAAGAGATAGAAAAATTTTCCGGAATGAAAATTGAATGGTTTTAAGAGTAATTTAGAACTATAAAAAACTTTTTTTAATTGTTTATTATACCTGCGCGCTGTGCACCTGCGCATACAAGCGTTGTGAATTTATATCGGAGAACTTCGAATTTCACTCTAAAATTGTAGAGATATATTCTCGAGAAGTTGCATCATCGATTTATGGAAAAAAAATCTACTTTTTTGACCTTCTAATGTAAGAGACTTCCTTCAAATAAATACTCCTTTTATTCTTTTGTTTACAAATAAGAAAATTATAGTTTTGTTGTATATTTCCCATATAAAGTTTTAAGGTGACCTATAGAGTCAATAATATTGATCAATAATACTGATCAGTAATACTGAATCAGTATGTAGTAATCTTTTTAGTATTTTTATAACCTACACCATTAGTATTACGGACAATATATTTTACTTTAATTTTATGTACAATATCTATTATACTGTGACATACTGTGACATGAATCTTAATAATATTGGATGCTTGAGAATCAAAATCTAGATCACCGTCAATATTCTATGTCCTACGTGTCAATCCATCAATATTAACCACACACGATAGAGTAATACTGTCAGTATTTGTTAATACTTACCTTTAAGCAGGTACAGTGTAGTACATTAATTTGCTAAGTTATAACAGCGACCTGACTTATCGAAAATAAGAAAATGCAATACTAAAAAGTTGGTAAAAAATTCTGAAAAAATTCTTAGAGTTCTATGAGAAGAAAATAAATGATTTTTGTCTCTTGTAGTTTTTCTGTAAAGTTGAATAATATTTGAGTAAAAAATAAACGTCGATAAGTCGGGTCACTACTATGACCCAGCAAATTAATACACTGCACAATGTACATTAAAAATATTTATTATCAATGAAAATGAGATTACAAGAATAAATAATAAAGTTATAAGTAACTTACAAGTAAGTTACAAGAATCACATCTACTTTCGGCGATATGATTTTATCGACAGTGTCAGAAAATAGATATAGGCCACGTAGTTCCCAAACCGAAAATAAATAGCGGTAGTGTATGGATGATTTTACTTAGGACGTGCTTGCAAAAGTATGGTACTTGACTCCGCCTAGCTCCGTCTGGTTCCGCCTGGTCCAGCTTTAGAAACTCCCCCAAAATCCGATTGGCTGAAGAAGTTTCGCACTTGGTAACTTGGTGGGGGAAGAATAGGGATAGATGCCGATAGCTATAGTTATAGCTGAGTTCCAGCAAACGAGAATGAATTGAAATGATTTCAGATTTTCAGAAATATTGATTCACGAATGTTAAAATGAATGCTTTTTAATCCTGAATGCATTTAATTCATTTATAGGAATTGCATGGAGCATATCTCTATGCCTTTCAATCTAAAAATAATATTAGTTTTTTCTGTGCATTGTGAATATTGTTCAATTAAAAATTTTGAATAGAGAATGCAGTTTTTCAATCCAATTGCATTCAATTGAATCTAATTGAATCCAATTGAATCTAATTAAATCCAAAAAAAGTATTTGCTATTTAAAATACACATTCGGATAGAAAAAAATTTCCATTTTAATCCATTCTCTTTTGCTGGGGTGGACGCAAGTCGCACTATGTTTTTGTGTCACACTGTGTGTGTCGCCTTCAGCGCATTGAGAGCGAACGAGAGCAAGCGATAGCAAAAAAGAACATGTCGTTCTCGTGGCTTTATTTAAGTAAGCGTGTAACGCCAAGCAACCGAAAAATGTCGCAGCGGTCTCGGCAGCTCGATGTGTATTAAAAGGCATGAGCGCCGGCTTTTGTGACGTCATGCATAAAATTCCGCATATGAACATCTGTCGAAGACTAAGTTATTACGACTCTTCGTAAATATAATAAAGCCGAGGCAGACTTGATTTTAGAGTGCACAAAGCTAAATCAAATATTTTTAATAATACCGGTGATGATATATACTTCAAAACGTTCTTGCTTTTTCTGCCTTGAAAATATTAAAAACGCATTTGCTTTCTAATGTAACAAAATACGACTGAAAAATTAACGATATTAACTGCATGTTATATCACATGTGCACTAGATCAATTTCGATGAGACTCCTTACAGAAAAGAATCACTGGTTAAATATTCATGTAGTTATCGTAATCCCGCGAAAATTGAATGGGTGTAGTTCTCGTGTGTGTGTGTGTGTGGGGGGGAGGGGGTGGCGCGCTTGTGTGTGTAAACAGTAATAGAGAAACTAACAAAACAATGTTAAATTTATTTTAATGAGCGTATCTAAAAAAAAGGATTGAGCGAAATTGCTTGACTTTGTCATTTTAACTATTAGTAACATGTTATTAAAAAAACTGCAAGTATAATTATATGTATATAAAAATTATGCATAATTGTGTATGAGCAATTTTTCCAAACTTGTTTTTTTCTAAAACAAACAATTAAATTAAAATTATCCCTTTAATTATCTTTTTTATGTTTTCACACATTATTATTATTATTTCTATTATACTAAAAAATAATTTTACAAAAGAAAGAGGAATGTATGATCATATAAACATATTTCATATATAATTATACATACATATTTATGAATATTTACGTTTATGTATGTTTATACACATCTAAATATATTTATACATGACAAATTTTTTACCGGGTATTGAAAAGCAAATAGGTTTTTCTCTACAGTTGTTTGAAAACTATACATACAAAAAGATTATATGAAAATATATTTGGCTCAATATAAGTTTATTACTAACTTGATTATTTATTTCAGAAAAAAATACTATGAAAAAAAAGAATTCCAACTTCATATTTCCAACCTTCTGATCTCACACCTTACGTGATCGACCACGCTAATTTCTTCCAAGTCGAGGTTATAAACGCGATATAACACGCATAGAAAATCATAAAAAATTAATATCTCGTAAACTATCACGTTTTGACATAATTTATATTATTCTGGAATAGGAGGAATATATAATTATTACAATTTATTAAAAGTTATGTGTTATCTAAAATGTCCCTATGCTTCTTGTAGACAGGAAGCGCCAACTTTATCGATTTATCATGCGTGAATGTGGGTCAACGCAGGCCAACATGACAGGAATGAGAGACACAAAATTTTCACTGTTACTATCATATCAATAAACATCATATCAAACTAATCTCTCTGTAGATTTTTATATCAAGATCATAACAGAATAATAAAATGTTTCTAATAATAAATTTTTATTAATATTTTTATTTAATCTGTTGAACCACTTAGGTCGATATTGATAGTTAGTTGTAGATCCCCCCGATCCATGGAACATAAGCAAATAAAAATTATTTAAAAATTGCACAACATGTAAAGGCTTTTATTTGTACATTATAAAATTATATTGGCATCATCTTTATTGTCTCTATCAATAATATCGCTTTCGACATTTTGTTTATTTTAAATGCGGATGATAGAAAAAAAAACATTTTAAACAAAATATTGATCGACACCAAGGGTATTTGACAAACACAACATTATTACAAAAATATGTTTTATTCGAATTTTTTTTTAAAGAAAAACTTTTATTTACATTTAACAATAATAATTTCATCGATTAAGACAAGTCGATCGCATACCATACATGTCAAATCATTACTTCTCTTACAGTTCTTAGTTTTAAAGTATACGAATAATTATAATAATTATATGAGAATGTATCTCGTCGGTACCTTATACTGATAATTAATTAATTACATAAGAAAAATATACTAAGAAAAAAAAGGAAAAAACATCAGAATTCGGGTGTAAGACGTCCATCAGCGGACTTTATTTACTTTTATAAGCCATATCGATTAACAACAACGACTGACAATTACAAATGCATTACATAACCCACGATGAACGCTTTTGCGTTTTCGCGTATTCTCAACAATCTCGACTTGTCGATGCGACGGACGTACGTTATTATTAAATCTCTCTCTTTCTCTCTCTCTCTCTCTCTCTCTCTCTCTCTCTCTCTCTCTCT